GGGGGGAGCAGAGACGGACATGTTCCGACTGCAGTGACCCCAACACAGTGGATAAGTAAGACAAGTAAGGGAAAGGTACAACAAAGCCTAATGGCCTATACCCTGATCTAGGGTGAGAAAGGCAGTGATGATAATGTGATTTTACGTCTCCGTCAACACAATTTAGATCTATTTAGGAGGTGGGCTTCGACCCTACCTCTAGGCTATAGGGCCAACCGGGGCTGAGAGGGACACAATGTCCCAGCAAGAAGAAAGACAGAGATTGCACTTGATAATAATTCACTCTTTGCCGGATTAGTCCAACACCATAGCAAAAAGTGGGCGAAGAGCCTTCAAAAAGACTACACCACAATTCCGCGCTTCTCGCCTGGCTATTTGCTTCACTCGAAGTACAAGTTCTATAATCAGCCTAGTTTTGAGAAAATGGACGTTAAAATTTGTCAGTTTCACAACATGGTAAAGTTTCTTCGAAAGCAATTCTTTGAAAATCTTGACAACGGTACCGAACAAACTTACGAATTTCATAGAGCAGATGAAACATCTGTTTTCTGACTTTATGGTCTTGAGGAGCAATAGGAGAAGAGGGGGAGGAGGAGGAGGATGGGGGAGGAGGAGGATGGGGGAGGAGGAGCAGCAGCAGCAGCTCCCACCTGACACCTCCCTCTCTACCCCACATCCCACCAACAGGGAAAAGCTACAGCGTTTGCCTCGCCAGTTATTATAATAAATAGCTATAATTAGTCACCTGACACCTGCACACAACCTGGCCGGCACCAGAGAATAAAAACGAGACATCTTTATAGCAAATTAATCAGAGAATAACAGCAGGTCTGCCATTATATTAGTACTTTAAATAAGGGAGAAATCTTAGAGAGTTGTCACAGCCAATGTCCTTTCTGTCCCGTTATTTTTGTTTCCCCTTTTAATTAAGGAAATCACGGTTTTCGGGCAGCCTGTTGGAAGGGACTGTCTGTCTTCAAGAATGTACTGGAGAGAGAGAAAGGGCGAGATAGAGAAAAGAAGAGAGACAGAGAGAGAGAGAGAGAAAGAGACAGAAAAACGAGGGGAGAGAGAGAGGGAGAGAGAGAGAGAGAGAGAGAGAGAGAGAGAGAGAGAGAGAGAGAGAGAGAGAGAGAGGGTGGCGGTTAAGAGAGCAATGTATCACGACAACGGTTTGTGAGACAGGCGCATACATAGACATGCATATATTTTGCA